AACTTCACAAGGGCACATAGTGTTCACTTCTATATTCCAAGTATATAGCATAGTGCTTGGCATGTTAATTTACTGAATAAATGATGTGACCCTTGGGGCAGCAGCTATGTTTTTTTTTTTTTTTTTTTTTTTTTTTAACTTGCATCCTTAAGCTCTAGCACAGTATATGGCACAGAAGAGGCACATCATAAATTCTGGTTTCGTTGTGTCCCTAGCTGCTATGGCTATTTAATAGGACAGAGTCAAGACCAGCAGATGGCATAACAGTTACATGACTGGACTCTCATGTAGCCTACTGTAGTTCGAGTCCCAGACCCAGCGGCTTGAACTCACATTGGGCACGTGTGCATGTCTGCCCTAGATCCCAAGAGGGGAATGGAGGAAGAGGGATAGTGGCATGGCCATCACCCTGGGAGGTGACTTCTTGCTTTCTGTCTCTTTGGTGAGCACACGTGCCCTACGTGCCCTATAGCAAAAATCTCTCAAAAAAAAAAAAAAAGGAGGACAGAGTCATCAGGATATAATCCTTTCATGGTTTCATTCCGGTTGATAAATCGTTTGTAATAAGCATAGGACTAACTCCACCCAGTATCTGAGTTTATATTCACTTGGATGATAGGGAAAAGAAAGAAAACCTGATCAGGACAGAACTTGCTTAAAGAAAGGCTCAGATTAGTTTCGGCACGCTGACATAGTCAGCATTTTGGAGGTGAGGCTCAGAGGTTGAATCAAGCTAAGAAATACAATTGATCATCCTAGTCTGCAAATTTCCCTCGCAGGTTGAATTGACGTGTAAGTGGAATGGGATCATGTTATTAGTTCTCTCCAGGGAAGGGAAAAGCGTGTGTGACCGCTGGGTCAGTGAGAGTTGGGCTGTCAGCAGCAGTATGCCCAAGGTCATTTCTTTGGAGTGACAGAAAGGCCATGAGAAGGGATTATCACTAAGCAAGATGTTTTGATCCCTCCATCCCCACCCTACCAAGCGAATCAAATGGTTGTGGGATTATGACAAAAAGATAAATATAATTTTAATCCAAATTTAGTCTATTCTTTCAGTCAGAATATTTTTCTTCCTCCTGCAATTGAGCATTCTCATTTTCATTTTCCATTTCGACATTGTGTCTTTTAGGCTGGCAGGACTTCAACTGGTATTAATTACAATTTCTAATTATTTAAGCTATTTCTGTGTTTAATGAGGATGTCTATGATTACAGGATACCATTGAACAATGAGATCCTTTCAAAATCTCATTGGTCATTTTCAGTTTAGTTAGGGGAAAAAAAATCACAGAAGCAAAAAAGTTTTGAGAACTACCCTTTTTGGCTTCAGACACTAACTTGTGTGTGTGTTTACAAGTAGATGAAGGGATTTGCTGTAAACTTGAAAAAGAAAACAATTTAAACTTTATATAACATGAGGAGAACTTTTCC